CTTAGATCGCTCAGACTTTCTCCACATCCTCAATGAGGCTGTTTTGCTTTCTTATCACATATGTGTTCACTGGAGTAGCAGTTTCAGTTTCCTTCAGGAACTTTTCCTTTGCATTCACAGCGTGGCTGTTTGGTGCAAGAGGCTTAGCTTTCAGACATCTTAGCTTTCAACATACCTTCCTCACTAAGCCTAATCATTTCTACCTTTTGATTTCAAGCAAGAAATGTGCCACAGTTCTTTTCACTTGAACACTTAGAGGTCCTATCGTAGGGTTATTAATTTCAATATTGTTGTGCCTCAGGGAATAGGGAGGCCCGAGGAGAAAGGAGAGGGACAAGGGAAGGGCCAGTCGGTGGAGCAGTCAGAACACACATTTATTGATTAAGTTCGCTATCTTCTATGGGTGTTGTTTGTGGTGTCCTGAAACAGTTACAGTGGTAACATCAAAGATCACTGATCCCAGATCACCATAATAGATATGGTAATGAAAATCAATTCTAAAATACTGTGAGAATAACCAAAATGTGACACAGAGACAAATGGTACCAATAGACGTGTTTGATGCAGAGTTGCCACAAACCTTCAGTTTGTAAAAAAAAAAAAAAAAAAAAAAAAAATGCATTGTCTGCAAAGCACAATAAAACAAGATATGCCTGTAGTCATTTTCCGTTTGTCTACAGTGCATTCTTCTTTCTTCTTGAAACTTGAACTCCTCCAGGTCAAGGAGTAGATTCTTGCACCTTCTCATTGCCCCAGCAAATTTATGTTCAGCGATGAGGAAAGGTAATTCTCATTTGGCTGTAAGCACTGACATCACTCTTTTTTTTTTTTTAGTTTTTTCCTTGTGCTAACATTTTCCGCTGTTACTCTTAGTTATTTGACATTGCAGACATTGCCTGTATTCCCATTGAATACTCCTGCAAAGCAAGGAGTCTTTATAATAAATAGGGTAAACCACGCAATGGTGTTACTAACCACAGTAGTACTAAAACTGCTCATGGCTTCAGTGCAGGCCCAGAGGAAGTACTGTCACTTCAGCAACAGCGTAACCTACTCACAAACCCCGCTTGGCAACTCTCATGTGTCACGGCTTTCATCAACTTTAGGGCAAGAATCATTCCGTTCTAACAGATGGACATGAATTTAACCAGACAATAAACCATGTATGTGCCATAAATGTGTTTGCTGAGGGCACGATTCCCAGTACAGAACTTTTAAGAACAGCTGTCTTATCATGAGCTACTGTTTCTTGGGGAGATGATTTGTTAACCTAATTCTGAAAGAGATTACATTCATAAAGTTAATCTTTCAGTGGCTTCCCCACTACCAGCAGCCTAGTTATTTGGGGGGACAATTTTTATAAATAAAAGTTATTTACATGAGATTCTATTTTTAAAGCAAGGTGAGGAAGACTTGATTCAGGATTGTCGTGACAGGTATAGGGACTGCCCCAGCAGGGTCTTGCCCGGCGGGGAAAGAGATTGGGCTCATTTCCTAACACTGCAGGGGCAAGTGGGATTCATAGCCCAAGAGCGGGGTGGGGGACAGTGGATGGGAAATGACTAAGGAAACATCCGGAGTAATAAGAGATGCTAGCTCAGCCAGCCTCACGGAATTCTTGCAGAAGGCGGGCCAAGGTGATCTGACATCCCCTGAGGGATCTATTTACATGAGATTTTAAAAAACTAATTTGATGTTTTCTTTCCAGATTTGGTGTAATTTGTCTAAATGGGTTTGTTAACCCTTTTTTGCATGGCCAGCGACTTGTCTTAGTGCGTTCGGGGAATGCAGAGCATTAATTGTGAGCATTTTTTTCCTTGATGCTTTTTTCATTTAGCACTTCTGTTAAATTACTGTATAAACTATTACTTAAATGGTTTTAACTATACAGTTCTTTAAAAATACAGTTCTTTTTTCTTTCTACTTCTTTCGGTCATTCTCTTCAGAGAAGATGTTTCATTCTCTCAACAAACATTGCTTTCCCCATGGAACCTGTGCAAATTAAAATATGAAGTGTTTGTTCGTTTTACATTCTTTAGAGGGTAACTTCTACTGGTGTACGTTTTCGTTGGCATGATCTACCAGGCAAAGTATAAATTGCTGTAAAACTGGGAAAGTGTTTGAATGAGTAAAGCAGATGTTCTCTTAGCATGAAGCAGATGTAAAACTTGCAAGTGTCTGTCTAATAAAATATAGCATTTGGTTCTATACAGCTGGTGCCAGATTGTCAATTAATCATGTTTGAATGTATTTTTACTAATTAGATCCCCCTCTGTTCTTTACACATTCTGGGTATATTAAAGAAAGGGATGGGGCACAAAAGCTTTCTACTGTTAGTACTTTGAGCAGTGTTTTTTCTTGTTCCCTAGTCTTCTATTGTTAGGCTCATATAGGCCAGTCTTTTATTCCTCATGACTCTCCAGTCTGATTTGGGGATGTAGGTTTGATGTTAGGATATTCCATTGAAGACAACAGTTAGTACTTTGAACGCTTTAAGGCAGCTGGAGAAAAGAAAAGGAATGTAATTAAACTTCATATTGTTTTTTTCCTTATTTGCATGAACAAAAGCTAGTATTTGCTCACTTAACATCAATTCATAACCTCTATGGTTATTTGACTGAGTAGGAGTTTAACATTATAAAAACAAGCGATACCAGTTTGGTTTTATGTTATCAAAAGCAAAAGAGCAGTTTTTCTCAAAGATTAAAGAAGAATGGGTTAATTTAACTACTAAGAAGAGTTACCTTTACTGCTATGAAAGATACAACACAAATCAGTAGCAACTGTGAAAGCTAAAAAAGCTGTATCATTCTGTGCTGTCATTTTTGTAAAGCAAGTATGCTAATGAAATTAAATTTCAGAACCTGGTGGGCTTTTTTTTTTTTTTTTGAGACAGGATCTCACACTGTTGCCAGGGCTAGAGTGCAGTGACATATCATAGCTCATTGCAGCCTCCAACTCATGGGCTCAAGCAATCCTCCTGCCTCAGCCTCCCAAGTAGCTGGGACTACAGGCACATGCAACCACACCCAGTTAATATTTTTATTTCTCGTAGAGACAGGGTCTCGCTATTGCCCGGGCTTGTCTTAAACTCCTGGGCTCAAGCAGTCCTCCTGCCTTGGCCTCCCAAAGTACGAGGATTACAGGCGTGAGCCACTGCACCCAGCAGTGGGCCTTTTGTTCATGCTTGATTTCCCCAGGATAAATTTGTTTTCTGTGAAAGGACATTCAATCTGGAAGAAGGTTTGCTACCCTACCTCCCATTTTTCTAAAAAGGGTTAGTTAACAATGATATTAATAAAGCATAATAGTTTGGTTTTTGGAGTTGGTGATTGGATATTTAAACACTCTTAAATAATTAAGAATTTTTTCAATGCTTTATTTGTGAATTGATTTATTACACTTTTTTAATGAATAGGAGAAGTATTTAAAGAAATATTTAGAGCTAAAAAGAAAAAATTTTTAATATTTAAAGGGTAAGAGAAATATATTAAATAATTTCTAGGTCTGAAGATAAATAGCATGAGTGGTTCTTTTAATGAAATGTTTATTACCATTTGAAAATTAGTTGGAGGTAGGGAAAATAAAAATATACTGAAAGAAGGTCATCAGCTAGAAAGTGAGATGTTCCTTGTTTATTGTCTTCCCCTGATAAAGTTGGATTTGTGGAACATGGATCTGCTGTAATGTGAAAAAACATAAATGGAAATACATTTTAGATAATGTGTTGCAGATTCTAGAATCTGTTTTTTTGAATACTGGTGTAAAAGTATCTATAATGACGTAGATTATAATTTTTTGTTCATTTATATAATACTTTTACGTGCACAGTTGAATATCCCTTATCTAAAATGCTTGGGACCAGAAGTGCTTTGGATTTCAGATTTTGGAATATTAGCGTGTATGTAAGGAGATATCTTGGGGATGGGACCCAAGTCTAAACACAAAATTCCGTTATGTTTGATGTATACCTTGTACAAATAGCCTGAAAGCAATTGGTTGTAATATTTTGATAATTTTGTGCATAAAACAAAGCTTGTGTACTTCGAACAATTAGAAAACAAAGATGTCACTTCGTTGACAGTCTTTGGTTGTTTGGTATCACCATCATTGCTGACTCTGAATTTCTATATTACCTTTATAAGCAATCATTTTCTTATATATATTCACATGCAAATATTTAACAGTAAAAAATATGACAGCGAAAAAATAATGTGTTCAGAGTAACTTGTGGCATCATGTTGGCTCTCAACAAGTTTTGAATTTTGGAGTATTTAAAATTTCACATTTTCAGATTAGGGATGTTCAACCTTTATATAAAATACATAATCTAAGAGTATTCATAAGATTATTCCAGAAAGTCTCCCCCATACTTACTACCATTGCCTCCATATTTTATGTTAATGATTTAAATTTTTAAAAAAGTATTTTGCAACCAAATTGACTAATAGCTATTAATCTTCAGTTCTTCTAAGGGTAAATACTTATCTAAAAGCAGTTTAAATATTTCATGTATCCGTTTACCTACATGAACATCTTTCCACTGAGGTTACACTTGTCAAAGTAACATTCATATGTAAAAGGTCTGCCTCATTTGACTAAGAATACCTTATATTCGTAGAATAAAAAAATTATTAATCTTATGTTGTTAGCTTCTAGGCATCTGTCTAATGCAATTATATTTCTTTTCATTTGGGAGATTTTTTTAATACTGTTCCTGTTTTCCTATTTTGTATCTCACTAATATGTGGGTATGGTGATATATTTTTAATTTTTTAAAGTTTAGACATTCACAAAAGTAGAATAGTATAACAAACCCCTTTTTATCTGTCACTGAGCTTCAACAATTATCAGCTTTCTATTCTTGTTTGTCAAGATTCGAGACTATATCTTTAGAGATTTTTCTGTTTTAAGTTGTGGTTTCCGAATCCTTTCTGCAGTGACAATACGTATTTAAACAAAACTAGGTCATGTAAACGCGGAGATCTAACTTTTTTCAGGAAGTGGAGCGAGAAATCTCATTCAGAACAGAATGTGGACTGTATTACTCCTACTACAAGCAAATGCTGCAGGCTCCAACCCTCATGCAAGGTAATTACAACTAATAGTCTGATCTGGGGTCTACTCTATTCTTTTTAATATTTTAGGCAAAAATACTTTGCACGGAAGCATTTTAAATGCTCTGTAGAACTTGTGTAGTTTCTCCTTGTTAACATCTGATCATTCTATGGAAATTTTTTTTGCTCTGGAAGAAGTTATATAATACTTTATTATAACTCTCCTCTCCTTGCCTTCCAGCTCCACTCCGTCGCAAAAGTAATCTCTTTGTGATTTCTTGGTTTCGTTGCTGATTTTTCTCATGATCATTTTGGAAGCAGTCTTTGCAATACTGCTTTCACAGGAGTATTGTTTGAAAACTGGAGGTCTTTGGGTAATACCAGTGAAAATTACAGTTGTCCCTCTTGTCCCCATCGTCCCCATTCCTTCCTCTATTTTGCAGTTGCCATTTTCCTACATTTTCACTTGTCCTAAGTGGTTTAGAGCCCACACTGTTTATCTTTACTCCGTCTAATGGAAGCCCCCAGAAGGATCTCTTCTGCTTAATACATCCTTGATGTGCTCAACATGGGCGTACACGACGGAGAACCGCCCTTTTCTGGGCTTTGCTTGGATTCAGCTATGATATTTTGGCAAGAATTCTTCTCAGGTGGTGTTTTGTACATCCGATTTTATAGCAATAGGAGACAAGAAATTTTGGTTATCTTTGTTTTTGTGTCATAAAAATTAATCAGTGTTTATAGCCAGACTCGTCCACAGTAAGGCCAGTTACGCACCAGCCTCTCACTCAGGGCTTTTGGCTTTCACTTAGGATTTTGCCTGTGTCTGTTACTTCCATAGGGCTCCGTCAGTCTGGGAACTCTGAGGTGCAATTCGTACAAGAAAGATAGGCTAAGTATTGATGTTTTTCCCCTATAGTTGATCCTCATTGTTCACAGATTCCATGTTTGCAAAATTACCTGTTTGCTAAAATTTGTTTATAACACCAAAGTCAGTACTCACGGTGCTTTCACAGTCATTTATGGACACGTCCAGAGCAGTAAAAAATTTTAGTCACTGACGTGCAAGTTCCCAATAGAACCAATGAGGTAACACTCTGCCTTCTTGTTTGACATAATAGTGTCCTTTTCTCAGTCTGTTGCATGCTGTGCTTTTTATTTTTTTTTATTTTTTTTTTGCTGTTTGTTGGTGATTTTGCAGTTTAAAGTGCCCCTCCCCCAGCATAGTGTTAAATGCTGTCTGCTGTTCCTGAGCTCAAGAAGACTGTGATGTGCCTTACAGAGAAAATACATTGTTTGATAAGCTTCATTTAGGCATGAGTTATAGC